ATCCGAACACACACAAATAATTGAGATAACAACCGGAGAGTTAAACGATGCCTTCAAAAGAGAAAGCAGCAGGACCTGGAGACATCCCAATTGAGTTGGTAAAGTATGGACCAAAAATATTACATGAGATGTTGGTTCAACTATTTATCAAATGCTTAAAAGGCCAAAATATACCTGATCATTGGAATATTGGATACATTAGCTCTATATTCAAGAAAGGGGATAACCGCAATTGCTCTAATTATAGGGGAATAATTGTTATCAGCTCAGTAGGGAGGTTGTACGGTCGAATAATAAAAAAAGAATAAAATCAAAATACGAAGATAGAGAAGAACAAAATGGATTTCGTGCAGGAAGATCGTGCACTGATGGTATATTCGTTCTGCAGCAGGTAATCGAAAAACGGAAGGCAAGGAATCTATCTACCCACCTATTGTTTGTAGATTTAGAGAAGGCATACGATACGATACCTTTGAAAAAACTGTTTCAAACATTGACGAAAGTAGGTCTCAGTAGAGAGTATGTGGATGCTATCGCAAATATATACAAAAATGCAAGAAGTGTCGTTAAAGAAGGAAACTTTATATCTGAATCATTTCCAATAACAAAGGGGCTTAAAAAGGATGTTGTCTATCTCCGACCTTATTTAAAATATATATTCAATCATCGCTAGAGCAGTGGAGGAAACAAGTATCCGGAATGGGAATAGACATAGGCGATGGTAAATGTCTAACAACTTTATTTTTCGCAGATGATCAGATAGTCGTAGTGAATGATGAGGAAGACATGGACTATATGTTTAGAAAACTAAAGAAAGAATATGAAAAATGGGGCCTCAATATGAATATGTCAAAGACAGAGTATCTTAAAATAGGAGATGATGAAGAAGATCCAGAGTTAGAAATTAGAAACACAAAAACATACAAGGAATATAAATATCTCGGATCTATAATATCTAAAGAAGGCACTACAGGGAAAAAAGCAATTAACATTATAAACTCTCTACTATGGTCTAAAGATATTAAACAAGAAACAAATTGACAATCTATCGAACCTTGGTAGAGCCTATTATGACTTATGGGGCAGAAGTTTGGCAGATCACGGAAAAAGATAAAAAAAATAATAGAAGTAGTAGAAATGGATTTTCTAAGGAGAGCGTGTGGTATATCCAAAAAAGATCATATCAGGAATAAAGATATTAGAAGGAGGACAAATACTGTATATTCCAGTGAAGATAGAATTGAAACGAGACAACTAGTGTGGTATGGTCACGTGAAGCGAATGAATGAAGATAGATGGACAAAGAAAGCTTTAAATTACATACCACAACAAAGAAGAAGATTAATATATGTATATATATATACATAAATAAATATATATATATATATATATATATATATATATATATATATATATATAGAGTGTGTGTAACGACGCTAAGAATACAATTCTTTGGAGGGTAACTTTCGGGAAAGCGTCAAAACAAGGATCAGCTAGAGATGGTATAAGCCAGCTTGGTGTAGAACTTTATTCTATAATGTGAAATTTTCGGTGATATGTTGTCACCTTCATCAGCACCTAAATGGAAAACCTATTATAGTACAGTGGTGGAAATCAACATTTATAAACCTACATTGAAAATGTTCAGTTGGTCCTAGTTGTAAAAAACACTGTCACAAACATGTTAAAAATATTAAAAAATACATTTAAAATTTTGAATAAAAACATTACAACATATATATATATATATATATATATATATATATATATATATATATATATATATATATACACAGCTTGAACGAAATAAATTCGGAACATAGGAATATAATGTATTTCGGCTCAATTCTGCTGTAGGTGGTTGGCCAACAAAATATTGTCAAATAATTATATTATAAAAATCCAATACTTCAGCGGGCTGCTGGATTCTGAACTCATAAAAATTGAAAGCTACACATAAATCTACGATTTATGCTGTCAAACCAGTTATAGTCCAGGAAATGAAGCATTTCAGCTCGCAATTTTTTCGTGCTCCCTGGATTGACTTGAAATTTAACAGAAGGTAGGTAATAGCCTAAGGATCAAAATCTATATCGAACCAAAGTGCGCCAAAGCCTAGGGGGTGGTTGCCACCCCATCTCCGGGGTGAAAATTTTTTTTACGTTTTAACTACAGGTTTCGATTAAAAAAGTGATTCTAAACAAAAAATGTGCTATACATTTTTTTTATAAAATGATATTTTTCAAGTTATCCGCGATTGAAAGTAATAACTTTTAGACGAAAAAATCCACGTTTTTAATCGATTTTTCGCGAATAATTCGAAAATGGTGCATTTTATCAAAAAAATTGTAGAAAACAAATTTGTAGCTTTTAAAAAGACAAATACAATTCATTTTTTAAAATGTTTTTGGGATATAATAGGAACCGAAATACGGCCTATCAATGTTCAGCGGTTTTCTTCAAATGCCAAATTTGAAAGATTCAAAATCAAATATCGGGAAAATGATGCATTTTTGGAAGAAAACTCACAAAACCTTTTTTAAAGAGCATAAATAGACCTATCATAAAAAAGACTCTAGCTCAAAAATTGAGTGAGTTATGATGAAAATAAGGTCAATACCTCATTTTTTACGAAAAAAATCGAAACAACACCCTAACCTCCTCCATAATTAAAATCGATCTTTACCCTTCTGAAATTCCCTTTGTACATGTATTGTTAATACGTCCAAGAAGTTTGACCCATTTAAAATGCTTTGTGTTAGAAAAAGTACAGCTTAAAGCGAGAAACGATTTACAATTTCATATTTTTTACCCTTCTTTTTTTAAATATGCCCGAAAATACTGAATATATGAAAAAAATACAAATTACCAAATTGTAGCTTTTTTAATGACTAAAATTATCCTTCATTTAGATTTGTTGTACAATGAATATTTGGCGAGATATAGCCGTTTAAAGCATCGATTTACGATCAAGCACCATCTTTTTCGAGCCCTTTAAACTCACCCCATTTAAAAACCAAGGGTTCCAAAAAGATTTAATTTACAGATCCTTGTAGCTCTTAAAAACCTCTACAAATCATTTTTGAAGAAACACTCTATCGTTAAAAATTAAAAGAAATACGTTAAAAAAAACAGTGAATTTTTTTCCGGAAAATTCTATTAGTATAGTACAGTACATTTCGGAGCATAATAATCTACAAAACCGGTATATTAGCTAGTGGGGCGTTATACATTCGAAATTTTAAGCGTCTTATTTTGAAATCCCATACAACAGAATAAAAGATCTGCTCATATGTCTATGGCTTGGCAATGAAAATATTAGAGCAACAGATTGGGGATGGTATTCCAAAGATGGTTTGTTATTACCCGTACGCATGAACAAACAACCTGCACTCGATGAACTTTTGAAAATTATTTTTTGGCAATGCAAAAAAGGATGCGGTGTTTCATGTGGGTGCAGAAAAGTTGGTTTATACTGTAACTCTACTTGTTCTGGGTGCTCAGGTGAAGGGTGCAATAATAGTCCACCAATAATTGAAGATGAGGATGACATAGATCACGATGAAGATGTAATTGATGACGAATAAAATTAATATTATAATTGTTTTACCTATAAATGTAAATATTTTCTACTATTTATGTAAATGTATAAGAATATATGGTGCCTTTTTATGTTGATAAATTTTTTTGTATTTAATTCTACTTTTTTCAATTATATCTTATAAATTAGTTTATAAAAACTGCAATGTTGTAAAGGGTGATTTTCAAAAGTTGAAAAGTTGCAAAATTTTGGCAAAAAATTGTTTTCACCTATAGCACTCATAACAATTGATTTTTAAGGGTTGAAAATGTATGAATTTGTATTTTAAAGTATAAAAAAATCAATATTTAACTAATCCAAACCAAATTTCACTCATCTTAAGATTTATAATATTATTTTACAATTTTTGAAAATTAGGGGTAGTTTTCATCCCTAAGAACAATCAGGGTTCATCGGCATGACATAAACTATAAAGCAGAGGGTGAGTTGAGCTTAAGTCCAAATTTTTATGCAAATCGTTCCAAGGTGAAATCATTTTCTTCGCATTACTAATTTTTTTATATTAATCTCTAATAAGGGTCGCTTTTTAAGGGTTGAAATATGATGGAACTTTATTCAAAAGCACGAAACTATCATTATTTAATTAATTCAAACCAAATTTTACCCATATTCAGGTTTAATATGTTATTTTATAATTTTTGACAATTACGGGTAGTTTTCACCCCTTAGAACAATCAGGATTCGTCGACATGACATAAACTATAAAGCAGCGGGTGAATTGAGCTTAAATCCAAATTTTTATCCAAATCGATCCAAGGCGAAATCATTTTTTTAGAATTAGTAATTTTTTTACATTAACCTCTAACAAGGGTTGCTTTTTAAGGGTTGAAATATGATGGAACTCAATTCAAAAGTATAAAATAATCATTATTTAACTAATTCAAACCAAATCTTACCCATATTCAGGTTTAATATGTTATTTTATAATTTTTGACAATTAGGGGTAGTTTTCACCCCTAAAACCCTTCAGCGCACTTCGGTTCGATATAGATTTTGATCCTTGGGCTATCACCTACCTTCTGTTAAAATTTCAACTGGATACATGCAGGACGAAAAAATTGCGAGGTTTTAACTTTTTTCGAGATTCATTTCCTGAACTATTATCGTTTCCTTAGACAAACCCGTCTTACGCAAACAACATTGTTGTGAGACAGATAGTTGAACGATATTTTATACAATGTCTATACCCAGGTATGGATTTATTTTTGTCCAAGTTTTATATTGGTCCACTATTTCAAATGCAGTTCAAACAGACATGTATTAAATTGTATGTTCCGTTTTAATTTGGTTCAATCTGTATATAATATATATTACATATATCCCAATAAAAAACTGAACCAAAAGATGCATTTTTATTAATTAATGTAGTATAAACTTCACAAAATTAATACACTTATCTTCATGAACACAATCCAGGATGTTTAAATTCTATTGAGGGATCCAAAGATTTAAGACAGTCAAGATAACATCTGTTTATATAATTTTTTCCGTTTGTATCGCAAACTGGATCTTCTTCGTAGGTGCAAAGACAATCAGAGTTTGAAGGCTTTGCTGTTAAAACCGAAGTTAGGAATGTCGTAGAAAAGCACAAATTAATAAAAAGAAAAATCTTCATATTAGATTTTTTAATTATTTAATAAAATGCTGTGGATTTTTTAGGTTACAACAAAGCAGTAATTATTTATATATAAGTACATAGAGAGTTACAAAATGGTTATTTCCTTTCGATCTTATCTGTGCTTTTGTGATATAATACGCTATTTTTATGACGTAAAAATTATTTTAATTAAGTTATTGTTTTCAAAATATAATCTTATTATATTACCGGTTGGTGGGTGTTCATTTTTAAATTGGGCATTCAAAATAACACCGATTTAGAAATTTTATTAAAATATAATGTCAACCTAATAAACATTAATTCACATAAAAATTTATTACACACCTTCAAAAAATTAACTGCAACTGAAAATAAATTTTATTTAAGATCTTTATAAAAACTAAATTGCGTACAAAAGCTGCAATATTCACCTTAAAAACTAATTTTGATTTGTGTCTATAGGACACTGATCAAGAGATATGGAATTTTACCGCTGAGTTGATATATAGCATTTTTCATATAAAAATGCTTGCACGTCACAATTTATATAAAGTGACGTCACTTATATTTAAAATTTCCAGAATGTCAACCTTAGAGCTCAAATTTTCCTGATATAGCTAATAGTACGAAACCCATACGAAACTGCTCGATTTTTCATAAAATGTAAAATGTAATCATCGTTATATTGAAAATTTTAGAATTATATTGATTAAATAACCAAAAACATTTGTTATTATTAATAATATAAATTTTATGAAATAACTCTTTAAGTCTAATATTCTATAAAAGAATAATTTTAATTAAATAGATTAGACAATTTTACGCAACTTATATGGGGACACTTCAAAAGTTATTGACAGTTCAGCGTGTGGCAAACGTGTATAAATTTTGTTTATGTTTTGATTTCTTACACAATTTGGTCATAATACATATAATAATATGTCAATAAATTGTATTTATAAATACATATTAAATTAAGATTAATAGCTTTAAAAACTAATTATTGTTGTGTATTGTGATGCGCTATGCCAAAACAAATAGTCTGTAGAAAGCTGATAAGCTTTTATATAAGATAGATTATTTTGAACAAGAAATAATGGCGGGACGTTTATACTATTAAAGCTCTAACAGAGGTAACTTTAAAATTTAGAATAAATAATCTTGTTTTAAGATGTTTTCTTATGTATTTTAGTGTCTTGCAGTAGTCTTAAAACTAAGTGTATTTACTGTTAATATAATAGTTTGACAAATAGTTGACCTTTTAAAAATTCCTCACTTACTAACTATTTTGATGTTTTGGCAACGCTGTGGGGTTCTGACGTCGTAAATCTTGAATGACGTGCAAGTATTTTTATATGAAAAATGCTATACTTTCTTTGTTTAATACCTTAAGTTCCATAGCGGTCATCACTGATCGACACTAAACGTACCAACAAGGCCATGGCAGTCATCAGTAACCGGCGTAGACCATTACAAATTTTGGTTCTGACAATCCGGACGACCGGTACTTTATGCAGTTTAAATATTTCACATAACCATTATGGCCCTTTTTAATACGAAACCTATATTGGATTTTTACTGCTAACATTTATTTACCACAAAAAAGATGAATATCGAAAGTTCAACTAGATCTATGTGTAATGGAATAAATTTAAAATAAAGTACAAAACTTAAAATAAGTCAATCTTTTATAATATTTATTTGCTGATACACTTTATTTGCGTTTCTAAAATTCTAAATGCTTTGGTTCTATGTTTACAAGTTTTATGCACCGTTTTATATTGTATACTCAACATCATAATTTATTTAAATAGAAGGCTACAACAGAAAATAGGGTAATATCGAAACGAATTACAAACAATAAAAATTACGAGTGAACTTAAACAAAATTGTTTAATATCAGGTATTATTTCCTAAAATATCAATTACCGTTTGCATACATTTTTATGTGGAATACGCTCACTTACTTCACGAAGCTTGTTTTAAAGTTCTGCAAGACTCTCTGACTGGCTTGGTTGACTTTTAACCCTACCATGAAGTTAATCCCTAAGAAAATGTTCAGATCGAAGCTGCAGGCTGGCCATTCTAGAGTATTATTTTATACTTCCTGAGCAATTTATTACTATTTCTGCTGTATGCGGCCGTGCATTATCATACATAAAGACGAAATTGTCCCCAATATGACACATCTTATTTCTCCATCTAGAAACAATCTCTCGTCTCTCATAAGACTACAATGAAAGCGCGATTTATCAGTAAAGAGAATTTGGATCCAATCCCATATATCCCAGTTTTGATGTTGTCGAGCAAAATCTAATCGATTTCTACTGTGTCTGACCAACATACTTTAGAAACTTAAAAAACAGCATCCTTATACTAATATAATAGAATACCTTACACTAAAGTTTGTCAACTACACAATGACGGTATTAGATTTTGATTCGATACAGAGCAGCGACAAGCCGCATATACGTATTTCGACCTCTTTAGGTCTCCTCAATACGGTATAGCAACTACTCAGTATCGAACCAAACTATTTTCCCGTCGTAGACCATAGTTATTAAAAATAACTATATACAGACGTAACTACGCCATCTAAGAACAAAAAGAGAAATCATACGATTTCTACCTGTCGAAATCGAATTCAAATATAAGCCACCGTGCTTCCTAAAACTTGCAAAGCAAACAGCTTGATGAATAAATCGGCAAGGGAATCTAAAATTGCACTCCAAATGCCGTTCATCATGGCCAATATTCATAGTGAATTCGATTTCTGGTACTCCAAACGAAGTAAAGAAATAAAACACAATGACGGTATTAGATTTTGATTCGATACAGAGCCGATTGATGCCGATTTATTCATCGAGCTGTTTGCTTCACAAGTTTTAGGAAGCACGGTGGCTTATATTTGAATTCGATTTCGCCAGGTAGAAATCGTATGATTTCTCTTTTTGTTTTTAGATGGCGTAGTTACGTCTGTACATAGTTATTTTTAATAACTATGGTCTACGACGGGAAAATATTTTGGTGCGATACGGAGTAGTTGCTATACCGTACTGAGGAGACCTAAAGAGGTCGAAATACGTATATGCGGCTTGTCGCTGCTCTGTATTGAATCAAAATCTAATACCGTCATTGTGTTTTATTTCTTTACTTTGTTTGGAGTACCAGAAATTGAATTCACTACGAATATTGGCCATGATGAACGGCATTTTGAGTGCAATTTTAGATTCCTGTGCCGACTTATTTATCAAGCTATTTGCTTCGCAAGTTTTAGGAAGCACGGTGGCTTATATTTGAATTCGATTTCGCCAGGTAGAAATCGTATGATTTCTCTTTTTGTCAACTACGTTTTATGCAAGGAGACTGTCTACTGTTCAGTATAAGCTGAATGATCACAGGGCCGAATTTATTTACAGTCAGTGTTAGTAAAGTTAGCAACAGTACTAGGACGAAACAAAGAAGTAGCTCCAGTCGGTAACACAAAACCAAAATCTTTGACTAAGAAAAGGCTTGAGTATATTGACTTTGCGTATAAACGGATGCAAAAAAGTTAATAAATAAAAGTTAATTTTCTACTCTTCGTTAATTTTCTTTTTCCTGTTTTTAAAAATTCTTCCAACACAATTGTACAGGTTTTCATTCTTATCGGTGCTACAAAGACATTAAAGTTTACAAGGATGACATATTTTTAAAATTTCAAATTTATTTAGGGACGCAAAGTTCCAAGTACAGCGGTTACAGTGCCATAAGTGTACATGTACAAGTGTTACATTTTGAAAAAATCATGAAATTTGCATTTTATACCACAACGACAGCATTGTTTTATGAATTATTGTATTATCAAATCCTCATGCGATAATAATAATATATTAGAACAGATCTGGCATAATATAATTTTGTGAGAACCAATTTATTTGACAGCCAAATTTAAAATTCGTTTCCTGAAAATTTTTGTAAATGCCGCTTGAAAACCTATGGTTCTCAGCCCTCGATTAAAAGACCAAATCTACTTATATAACTAGTTTAGTATTTGTGGATGTTTTATTGTCTTTATTGATAAATATAATTAATTTTTTGATTGAATTTGGCTATTAATTTATTGTATTTAAAGGCATAATTTACTTATATGACTGAATTGTAGGTATTTATGGATGTTCTATAGTCTATTAATTAATTTATTGAATTTTTTTATTAAATTTGGCGACTTTGATTGTATTTAAAGGAATAATCTACTTATATTACTGGTTTGTGGGTATTTATGGATGTTTTATAGACTTTACAGATTAATTTAATTAATTTTTTAATTGAATTGGGAGATTAAGTTATTGTATTTAAAGTCATAGTCTATTTATGATACTGTTTGTGAGTATTTATGTATGTCCTATAGTATTTATTAATTAATTTAATAAATTTTGGCAATCAATTTTTTTAAAGGCATGACCTACGTATATTATAAGTTTATGGTATGGTCTGTATTGATTAATTTAATTGTGTTTTCTGACGATTAAGTTATTGTATTCATAACTTTAATAACACAGCTAACATAGCCCTGCGTCGCATAAGTAGGTGGATAAGGGAGAACGATCTACAGCTAGTGCCTCAGAAAGTGTCTGGTTGTCGAAAGGACTAAGGTTTGAAATACACATCCAAAAGACAGTAGAGAAGGCAAACCGAAATCTGTAGGCATTGATACGCCTGATGCCAAACATTGGAGGCTCAGGTAGCACCAAAACAAAGGTGATAAATGGAGTTTTCCAGTCGGTGGTAACCTACGCTGCCCCCGTGCGGTGTAGCGTACTAAACAGTGCGAAATACGCTAAGCTCATGGAGACTTCTCAAACGCGAATGCTCCTTAGGGTATCTAGCGCATATAGGACAGTTTAAATAAGGCTATATATGATATTGGAGCGGTGATACCGATCGTTTTGTTGTACAAAGAGCAAGCGATGATGAATGCTAGGAGGATGGATGTAAATATAGAATAGATGATAATGAAAGAGAAAGAACGATAGTAA